CTCCAATGTAGCGCGGGAAATTTATCGCGCCACCCTCAAGCTACTTGTTATTCTGCAGCACGATTACTCGGACTACTTGGCGGCACACTCACATCAGCTCATAGCTAGTGTCCCTCCTCACTGCAAGCAACTTCTTAACGCCATATTGACAGCGAACCCAGCGGCTCATCCTAAGATGCCGGATCCTTCATTCCCTGGCCTGCAAGCTGATAGAGTAGATGGTGTGAGAGACTCCCCCGAATCCCTGGACAACTCTGCGTCCATTCTCCGGGACTTGGGCTTGCTTGATGTCCTTGACCACGCGCTACAGAACGGCCCCTCCGAAGATACACTGGCGCACATTACTCGAGCCATTGTAGAGAGCCAGCGATCCGACACCGGATTTGGGCATGTGCCCATCAATGCCAATTTGCGAGTAGTCGAGGCAGTCACTCTACATGTCGGCAACTATGCTGTCCAGCAATCAACTCAGAAGGGTACAGATGTCTTCAACCCAGCATCGTCAGACGTGGCTACAATGTCTATCTTGCTTCGCGAGCTTCCCCCTGAGGCCCGCTACTACCTCATCACCAGCATCGCAAATCAACTGCGCTTCCCCAATGCCCACACCAACTACTTTAGCCGTACCTTACTGGAAATATTCGGCCAAGACATGAATGATCCTGAGGAGACGGAGATCAGGCAGCAAATCACGCGAGTGCTTTGGGAACGCCTGATCGGCTACTGGCCCCAGCCCTGGGGTCTAATGGTGACAGTTGTTGAGTTGCTCAAGAACGAGAAATATATGTTTTTTGATCTCCCATTCGTCAAGTCAAACCCGGAGGTAAGCGAAGCAGTTTTGTCCGACTCTGTCAACATTCAGCAATGACTAATACCACGTTCTTCAACAGGTCATTGAACGCTTCCATGCCATTTTACAGCGCGCATGAGAATCTGTGTGGGAAGGTTCGGCTCCAATCTAAAGGTCACGTCTTTTAATAAGATTAGGCGACGGCATGGTGTGTTCTTCGGATCAATTGCAGCACAAGACGGGTGGGGGATACAGGCGGAATGGGGGCTTACAAAAAGGAGACATGGGTGGCGATTCCTTCCCAGGGCGTTCTACATGGAAATCACGGAAAAGACCTGTAGTATTTATGCTAATGTACGATAATGAGATTTTTGGTGGTATGTTGGACATTCCGATCCTGAAGCGCCTAGCCTTCATTCCTTGTTCGTCAAAGCGGCTACATGGCGACATGTTAAAGATTCGGAACGAAATCAGGAACAGATGGTTATTTTGTGTGGCAGCCCTGGTGTCGAGGTATCGAGTAAAAGCAGACCAAATAGACGATGCCTTCGAGAGACCTATACACATGGTCGTGGCACTTTTCATCCTCAGCCTCATCCCCTGCTCGGCCTTTTCGCTCGGGCAAAGTACTTTCATTCCCCCAGTAATTTGGCGTACGCGCGAGAGCGGATGATCACAATTTTGACAGCGACCGACCGGTGTCGTCAACTACGGTCCATGCTAGAGGCAGGAAGTTTGCTTGGCTTTATCCTGGGCGAGCTGGTTGTCAGATACAGCAGAGGCTGTCCACAAATTCAGAATCATGTTCCTCTTCGAGCAAACAAGGCGGTCCCGGTTCATTCCCCCTTCAAGGTCTTCCCTCACTCCTTCAGCAAAACTCGTAGACTTTTCATGTGGGATGCCTACTTTATTCGTCCCTAAGAGTTGAGGCACGGAGTGCTACACAATGAGTCCGCACAGCAGTACACACATACAAGAATACACGATTATATTGAAAGCAGGTCAGGCTTCGTGACTTTCTTCGCGGTCGTATCGTAGCTAAATCGCCGCTTGACTCGCCAGAGCGACATACAAAACCACCAAGCAGGCCTCCTCGTAGCTCTGACGCTTTTCTCATTTATCGCACTCGCCTGTCGTGGATATCATCACGGATCGTCTGCCCTCTTTACCATGTGAACCAGACTTCCGCAGCCCCCCTCCCCTGGTAGAACCTGATAGAACCAGTATAACCGCACGATCACAGCTCTTCCTCCTCCACATTCGTACTTGAGGTGGCCGGCGCATTTGTCTGTGCCGGGATACCGCGGTTCATGACATCGCTCAAACCTCCGGTGGTGTTATTTGATTGAGCTCGGACTTGGTCTTCACCACCAGAAATGCTCGGTCGGTGCTTCTTCAAAGGGCTTCCGATCGTTCCCTCTATCGTAGCATCATTACTAGCTTCCTGATTCGCGCCCCCAGAAAGATGGCCATTGCCTGCAGCGCTCGTAGTGTTAATCAACGGACCACCAAACGTGCCCGAATTTGCAGAGTTATTCGTGGCACCTGCGTTTTCAGAACGGTCGGGCTCGGCTGAGTGTGCTCTCTTGAGCTGTTTTATGAGAAGTCAGTTACCAAGCTTAGACAGGGGGAAAGAGAAGTGACACGTACGCGAATACGGTTCACGCCATCGGCAAGTTCCCCTTGAGATCTGACATCCTCGGGAGCGAGCTTGTTATTGATGTCCTTTTCATCAATATCCTGCATCTTTCCAAGAAGTTCACTCTCGTCGTCATCGTCGTCACTGTCGTCATTGAGAGCTCCCCCAACATTACCGTTGCTCTTCTTGCGGGCTTTCCGTCGTCTGGTGGCCTCTGTATCCTGGTCTCTGAAGGCAGAAAATCCAACAGTGCCAGATGTCTTCAAAGGGCCGAGGCTAGAAAAGTCTAGCTGCCCAGACCGGCGTTTGGCAGATCCTGGCGTTGCCTGGGCTGTATTTGAGGAAGCAATGATGCCAATCTTCTGGAGTTGCCCTGCACACTGTTAGCTTCCTAGAACGCAGCAATGTTTCATCTCTTGAGAAACTGGCCGACTTACTCTCCCCACGGTAGAAGAATGTGAAAGAAGCATATGGCTTGTCGGGGCCGTCGATGCCCGTAACGGTCTGAGTACTGATAGTCTTCGGATCCAATGTCTTGGGCTTGGCAAAGCTTGTGGTGTGCTCCACATCAGCATCGACGCCGCTCTTTCCATTGCCTTGCTTTCCGGACTCCGCATCATCGTCATCGTCGTGAGCGTCGAACTGTGGAGAGTACTCTCCTTTTTTTATTTCGCCAGAAGCAAGCACACGGAACATCAGTACCTTGATCTGTCCAGTTGCTTCGGGGATCTCATCATCATCGGACAAGGAGTCAGAGTCGTCTTCGCCGAAAACAGCCTCAACAGGGGATCCGTCCTCGGCACCGTAACGCAGAGTGTCTCGGGGGCCGTTGGGACCCTCCTCAACTTGCATGCTTGTCGCTCCAGGTGTAGCCTTTTGCCTCCTACGTCGCTTCTCGAACTTTTGGCGGCGACGTTCCAGCTTCTCTGCGGCATCATGACCTTGTAGGTCTAAGCCATTCAGCCAGCGTTCCAAGCCGACTTCGCGGAATAGGAATTCGCGCTCGGCAAGACCTCCGCCTTCCGAGTCGGGAACCTGGACCCAACGACTGTTAACCCAGGTCTCTTCACCCGGCCGCAGAAGCGTGGCAACTTCCTCCTTGGATCTTCCGTCAAAGTATATGTAGGCGGCTATCGTCTCATTTTCAGAATTGGTCATGGGGATATAGGGGTTGACAACTCCGGAGAACTTCGAAGGGCCTTGAGCGGCGGTGGGGAGGCCTCCGACGAACTGGGGCTTCGGATAAGGGTTCGTCTCGGTAGACTTTGGAGTCGAGTACGGGATCGGTAAGCCGGGTGTTAGAAGTGTGATTGATATGGCGAACTTGGCAGGCTCGGGCTTGTTCGAATCGGGGTTGATGCTTGGTTGAGGCACGGGTATATAGGTGCTAATCCGTGACAGACGTGACTGCTTTTGCATACCATGCTCGGGAAGAGGGGCACCGTTGGCATGTATGCTAACAGCAATCCCTTTAAAGCAGGGCATGGTTGCGAGGCGGACTAGAGCGCGTAGAGGCGCCGCAGTCCGAGTAAGGAAGTATAGTTGGCGGAGGGCACCGCGGTCGCGAGTGACAATGTTGCGATCAGAAGGTTTTTCTTGCAAACGCGGCGGACAGACAGCTGGGGTAATTTGTGCGAGGTCAGCTGAAGGCCGTAGACTGGATGACTTGTTCAGTCGATAGTTTCGTGAGTGGTTTGCGGGATACGCAGCGGCACACGGCGGACGAGGTGGGAATAGTGGGGGTTGCTTCCTCCTTTGGTGATTGCCGAGGGGAGCGCAAGTAATGATTGCTCCCAAAAGCGAATTGTTGGCTCGACGATATCAAAGTCGCAGTAGCAAGTAGCAAGTGACTGCGGCGTGTTGGGGCAGCAGTTGATGCGACTATGAGGTCGAAACTGAAGTAGAAATTGCTCTTCTTCACCGTCTCTGCATGGATCTGGTTGATGTGGATCTGGCGACTGGGGGCAATGAGACTTTGGGCGGGGAGGCCTAGGTACAAATGGTGCGCATATTGCCCCGACGACAGGGGAGAGGAGAGGCAAACGCGTGGGATCTGGGAGAGGAAATTGTCGACAGGTAGGAGATGATGAGGCTGAAAAATACCAGACAGAGTATTGGTGGCTACTTCGTGGTGTTGTCGAAGATAGGATAAGGCTCAAGACGATGGCGGCGGTAGCTGGCGGTGTGGGAGGGCAAGGAAGCGACAAGATAGTGCCCTGGAGGGGGAAGGTTCCTTGGGTGTCCCGTGTCCGTGCTTGGATGTTCCCGCGACTTGCAAGTGCAGCTTCATAACAATACTGCGTACATCCGCTGGGATGAAATGCACTGGTGCACTGTGGGGGCAGGCACTTCCTTCCATCCAAGAAGTGCCATAGGCGTAATAAGTCGCGGCCCGGAATACCTACCTACCTTACGGAGTACCTACCTTACCTTAATTGCTTAGGTACCTTACCTCAGGTGCCCCCCCCCCCCCCCCCCCGCCTCCTGTTAGGTAAGCGAATGCATACTCCGTACCCCAGCGAGGTCTAACACCAATCCCTCCTACATGCACCTTGCCTGTCACTATGGCACCACAGAGATCGCTGCTGACCGTTGACTGGTTTACCCATCATGGGGCTTGTGCAACCTTAAGGTAAGGTAAGGTAGGCTCATAGTATATTTACAATCCGAGGAAGTCGACGCAAGCAGCTTGGCTATGAATATTTCATAAAGTGAATGACGAATCCTCAATGGCCTTTATCATTAGCCTTTTACCTTTTCCATCCCAACGTATTGTGACCTCAAGCCTCAAGATACTCTCGCTAGATCCCAATTGCACTTCGGTGATAACACCACCACAGCAAGCACCATCAACTTTTATGCGATGACCTCCGCCGCACACTACTGGAACCTCCCTCGCTGTAACTCGTCCCAATACCCGAGTCCCCTCTGAACCCCCTTCCGTCATCTTCTTCCTCATCGTCGGCCTCACCACCGAACGGGAGCAGGTCGTCCACACGAGGCCCCACGTGTTGCTCATCCTTCACTTCAGGCTCATACCGTAACGGAGCCTGATTCCCGTAGGTAGGGAAGGTCCTCGGGGCATCCGACAGCTCATCAATGCCACTTCCATCCTCTCGCTTGATTTGACCCATCGACTTACTATACGACAAGGCTCCTCCATTATTGACGCCAGAGCCTGGTGACGATCTTGAGAGCCCAGACCATGCCAACCATGCCACCACCATGAACAGGATCTCGGATGCCCAGAAAAACAGGACGGCAGCGGTCAAAGTCATCACGCGATAGTTGTACATCAGCCAACGCAAGCCCCGAAGCTGAGCAGTCAGTGTAATCGAGGCAGAGTACGTCTCGATATCCTGGCCGCCCTGAAGCTCAAGGTATGCTGAGGCGGGCAAGGATGAGCCCTTGGCCAACTCAACGCGCTCGGCCATAGGCACGCTAAGAACGCATGTTTCCGAGTCGGCGAACAAAACATGGTAGGCTAGAAAGAGGATTCGCGACGCCATCGATACCATTGGATCTTGATATGGCACCAAAGCGGGCCGCCGCGAAGACAGAAGGACTCTCTTTCCATCGAAATGGGCATATGGCTCAGGAGCAATATGAGGCTGTATTTTTTCGCTTCCCGCCGACAAGGCGCCAACGTCCAACAGGTGGATGGCAATCATGAAGTTGCCTCGTTGAGTGTTGGCAGGCGAACGGGGCATAGACAAAGTGACGGAGACATCGTACTCCTGCTGCGTCCTTAGAGCAGACGTCGGGATGGTTGCTGTTCCAAAGGGATTCGCTCCTGATCTAGAGGTGGTGTTAGCCTGCAACGTCCTTGTTGTGTTAATCTTGAAGCAGGTAGGGCGCAAAAAAGACTCACCCGTACTGGAGATGGACTGGGGTCGTCACTACTTGCTCAGGTAGGTAGTCGCGGAAAAAGAGGACCGAGGCGACAGCAGCAAAGGGTAGCAGAAATAGCGACGTGCCCACGAGGAGGCTCACGTTCACAAGTGTACGCTGTGCAGTCTTGGACGTGGCCACTCGGGATGCCTTGTTCAAAACCTCCTATCACACCCAGACTTAGAATCACAGAGCTTGCGAATCATCGCAATACTGGGCAGAGATCGTACCATTGTGTCAGAGAACAGATGTCGCTGTTTGCCGGGCAGCTAAGTTTAGTCACAATGACTAAGTGATCAAGTCGTGGAGAATGATGTCGTCCAAGTTAAAGCTCGAGCTGGTCTGAGCAAAGGGATGATGATGGGCAAAGTGGCTCAAGCCCCGTTGAGTAGGTGTCAGGGTGTGTATCCGTACCAGTTCAAAGACGTGTGGCGCTGGGCTGACATGCCGCTCTGCTATCCTTCGCCCTCGCCAGCTGGAATTTGCCAATTTCGACGGCTTCCACTAGGTATTGCCTCGAAAAAAAAAGAGGTATATTGGCAAAGTGTAGAGCTGCTGCACATTCATTCGGTTCGGGAGGCTAAAACGCTTCCTTTCAGTTGCATGTGACGTTCCCCGCCGCATCAGCTACCCATACTCAATACCAATGCAGAGTATCTTACCTTAGGTAGAGTGGGTAGTTACCTACCTTCCCTGACCAAAGGCAAGGTGACGTATCCGTAGTAAGGTAGGTGCTTTCCTCGCTGCGCAGGAATACTTTGGGCAAGATATTCCCCGCGGCGATGTATCCATAGGTAAGGTACCCTACCCGGGTACTCGGTGAAAATGCCCGTGCACAAGGCAAGGAGGACGAATGCCTGATTTGTTTGTAGTGGTGGGCAGGAACAGCCAACGGGCATGCGATGTGCGGATAGGAAGGTATAATGAATAATGATTCAGTGCAGTCGGAACTATCATAGTGAGTATCTCACCTAGGTATTTACCTGCCGTGCCTCCGGGTGAGGCCAATACTCGCTCATTCACATCATTTGACGCGACCCTTGCCATTTCATACTATCTTAACTCATTCACCGCTGCCTGGACCTTTTCTCTTTAACGCTTCCGATACAAGCAAAGCCCGAGGAAGCAACCCGTGACACCATAGTCCTGGCCGATTTCAAAATGGCTTCACAACAGGATCTTCAAGAATTGCTGAGGGTCATCACCTCTAGAAAGGGAGTATCGATGATGGCTGCAATGGGCCAGGTCAAAGCACTGCAGACAGTGGAGCTTCGGAGGTGTGTTGATCGAGTGCGCGGTTCTGCTTTTGATTCCACCAATCTCACGAGCATATGAACAGTATTCAGCAAATAAGCAACGCTTCGCTCGACCTGATAGAGCGTGGCCTTGGCGACTCAAAGACGGCCAAGGCCCTGCAGACAGCATGCAAGACTCACCTGAAGAGGGGAAGCACCAAAAGATCCGGGCATCATCTTACTTCTCCAAGTGAGAAGCGTCCCAAGATCCATCACCCCAGCGACGACTCCGAGGGCCCAGCCCAACATCTAGAGGATACGGAGGCTGCCCTAAGTCTTTCCGTTGTTATGGACGAGAAGGAGATCGCCGGGGCGTCCATTTACACCAATCGGGCGCCATTGATGTTGGCCTTCGTGTTGGAACTTCTCAGACACACAATGCCAACGCAGCCTATGTCGAGTCGTCTCAGCCTAGCCCAAGCTGTTGTCAGCGCCAACTCAAAGTCAAAGGCCATCAGCATTGGACTGGCCAAGGCCGGCAACGAAGACGGCTCGTGGGGCGAAGGACAGCCAAAGGTCAACATCATGGGCAGAGCTATAGCTGTTCTCAAGAGAGGCGACTTCGACTTGCCTGGCAGCGGTTTGGCGGCTCCAGAATCTTCAAAATACGCAACAGATGATGGTTTGCAAGGCGGGAAGCCGTCAGAGTCGTCAAAGCAACACCATGGCAGTGCTGCTTTCACAGAAACCCCGTGGTCTGCCAGCCGCCAGGTCACTTCCAAATCGTCCACCTTTGTTGCGCGAGTGGCAAATGTCGAGGACAGCACTCAGGCGCCAGGTCTCGTTCGTTCACTCCTACTATCTGAGCCACAACTACAAACAGCCACACATAACGCCTGGGCCTATCGAGTGAAGAGGCAAGGGCAAGGCGGCGGGCAAACCCAGGGATCGGGAGAGGTACGCGAGGCAAGTGAGGATGACGGCGAAACTGGTTGCGGCGAATTCATACAAAGACTCATCAGAGAGGCTGGCATTGTCGATGTGATCGTAGTGCTGACCAGGTGGTTCGGAGGGGAGATGCTAGGTCCAGATCGCTGGAGGCTGATGCGCAACGTCGTCACAGAGGCGCTTTCCCAGCGGCTACGACTCACACAGATCCACGGGGGATGTGACGATGTGGCCGTTTGGGCACTGGATCTTCAGAACACGAACAATGGATCCGGTAGCCGTAGTGCCAGCGAAACAAGTCGTAACGTCGTCGGAGTTCCGATACATCGTCCGGAACCAGCTCGGGCGTACCTACTCAAAAGTTTTGCTACCGGCCAATCTGAAGATGTTCCCATAGGCGATAGTATCGGCGGGAGTGCTTTCAAAGCCAAACAAAAGAAGATGAGCAAGGTGGAGGATGAAGCCGAGAGGGCACGCAACCTAGGCCGCCTCCTCGGAGCTCTTAGGCTGCTATTCGATAGCTGGAGCAACCTTGGACCTCGTGAGATGGATCGCAAAGCATTCTCGTGGTATGCATCCATAAGACCAGAGGTACAGCCAGGGGTTGCAGGATGGGGCGCGAAAGGTTGGCTGAAGCTAGATACGATACTTCAGCTGCGTCGAGCTGACGCCGAAAGTACGAAGAAATAAATCATCAAACCGGTAGCATGCCGGGTCTTTCGGCAACCCAAAGCAATCACACTCGTTGTCACCGTTTGCAGGCCAACATTGGCAACATTGGGTAAAACATATAGTCGTTGTGCGGTACCTAGCAATGGCGCATATTTCCTACACTCAGCATCAACCGCGTTTTCGCCGAGTCTCTACTGATACTCATTCCTTCACGGAACTCCCATGGCATCGGGGAGCAGAGTTGAAAGACATAACCCAGCGGATGGTAGATGCGGGACACGGCCCACACATTTAAATACTAGCTATTGCAGGGTAGTCAGGTGGTGCACCTCTACGGATTCGGATATCTTATCAATAATCCTAGACCTGACCATAGCTTACTAGCGGGTCATTAAACGCTCCGGCTGTGCACACCTACACACACACACACACACACACACACACACACATCGCCAGGCAAGGTCAGTATTTCCACAATCTACCGCAGTATATTCGTAGATGTGGCATGGTGGTACCTCGGGCAGCTGCGGCATGATCTAACACTACCGCAACTGGTTCCCGAAATCACCACTGCACACCTTGATACCGGCCCTGGCAGCGATTCCGAGCCATGCTACACCTCACAGTCGGCGTGAGCGCCCCTCGTCAGGCTGCCTGTAGCTTTCTGACAATATCTCGACGACTAGCTTCCAATCGGCCTGTGGGCCATGGTCCAAGAGCTCCACGGCCGTTAGTCTCACCGCTCCCTGCCCAACACGCATTGCTAATCATCTCTCAGCTACGCCTCTCGTCGTACCAATCAACTTCCTTCGAGTCCCCCCGCTCCAAATACTCTCGAAACAGCTGATGCCATCTTCAAGGCTAGGAAGATACCTTTGCTTGCCTCCGGGGTGGTAGCTCTGGGTCTCGGGATATATATCAGCCTTTTGGCATCCTCGTTCTATTCTTCGAGCTGCCACAAGGGCTCAGAGCCGGCGCTAGATGCGATCCCGACAGGTCGACCCAATGTCTTCACCAAGGAATCAGCCAAGAAATTTGACCAAAGTCTCGAGGGCTCAGAATGGTTGATGGGCATCACCTCTCTGCGGAAAAAGCTTGCTGTAGAGGCTTACGGACATGTGCTTGAAGTCGCAATGGGCACCGGCCGTAACCTTCCCTTTTACGACTGGAGTCATGTTCTCAGCTCTCGATCGAACTCAGCAGTCCAGGCACTTGCAGCGCCAAAGCCCAACGCACAAGTATCCAAGACCGACGTGGTACCGATAATCTCTTATACAGGGGTCGACATTTCTAGTGAAATGCTTGGCGTCGCTCTCGAAAAGCTCACAGAAACTGTCACAGAGTTTTCTGGCATAGACCCTATAACCGAGAACCAGACTGCGCCGTCTCCTGATGAGTGGAGTAATATCTCTTACCTCTCAGGTAGACTACGAATGTTCCGGTCAGACATTCACGAATATATTCCTCCTCCCCCTCAGCAACCTTGTCCGCAGGCTAAGTACGACTTTGTCTGTTCAACGTTTTCTCTGTGTAGTGTTCGCGACCCAGAACAAATGGTTCGGGATTTAGCCCGTACAGTCAAGCCGAACACAGGCAAGATCGTCCTCGTTGAGCATGGTAGAGGATGGTGGGGATTTGTCAACGGGTTACTTGACAAGTCTGCAACTTCCCATTTCCAGAGTAGGATTGTTATCTTCCTTTGGGACTATCAGCACGAACTAACTCACCCCCTCTTTAGAATACGGATGCTGGTGGAATCGAGACATTGCTGAAATCGTCGAGAACGCCGCAAAGTCTACACCGGGACTTCAAGTCACAAAGGTTGATCGCCCGTACTTTACACAGCTTGGGACGACCTTGTGGATCGAGTTGAAAGTCTCGGATTCGAATGTGTCTTAGACGCGACACCTAGTCTTTCATCTACTCGCAATCGAAGAGTCCTCATACACTCTCTGCAGTCCCGAGGTGGACCGCAAGTTGACGTCAACAGCTGACATTGAAAATTTGTACAGAAGGGGAGGTTTGTTTATTTCATTTCAATCATACCCGGCCAAATTTTGAGCTTTTTCCTCCCGGCCTAGATTCCCAAACACCAAGCCTGCGCAGACGTCCTTGGGACCAGCTGCTGTTACAACTACTGATACAAAAAAGACATCCGCCCATTCCCTGATCGTACTCCCAAACGAAATCAACTTCACGCTGTTATCGTATGCCGTGGTTCCACTTTCGTTTTCGTCATCGTCAAGCAACGCCTACCAAGTATCAAATCTCCAGAAAAGGAGTTCAGTTGATTTCAGGATCGACAGATCAAGCCGCACCTGGCATTGGATTGCCCCTAAAATCTTCAGTCGACACTTGATACCGTGAGATGGGACGTGGAGCAGGCCTTAGCTTCACGTAACATATCACGGCCGTTAACAAGAGTCCAGCAAACAGTCAAGCTCGTCAAGTTCAATGCTTTCAGGGCTATGATCCCATTCTAGGAGGCCCCCCAGCTTTAACCAGCTGTCGCCGTCAGTTTCCTTTCTGGCGCTCGTCGGGACGGTTGCCTTAAAGGCTGGGCTCGTGATGAATTGATGCATCGATGCCAATCCGCTATTCACGGCTACACTGTTTTTCTCGTCGAACATGCCATCATCCCGTACCGGTTCATAGGCATTGGCAGACTGTTCGCCATTGCCTGTCAAAGACATTTCGCGAGCGAGCTTGCGTTTCTGCAGACCGTCGGCTGTCTGGGTAAACTCTCGTTCATCCTTCTCCAGAGGGGGGGAGGCGCTGCGATGGCTTCTCGTGTACCGAAAACTGCTTGGTAGTGACCCAACGGGCGTAGTAGGCATGGCAGGGTCTTCGTCACCATCATCAAATTCAGGAGAGGAAAGATCGACCTCAGGGGACGGACTTAGATCCCGCCGGCGAAGATCGATGTCGTCACCATCGTCGGATCCAGATGCGATGCTAGATAGAGACGGAGAAATGACGGCGCGTTGAGCGAAGGCTGGTGATTCTGGAAAGGGCTGTCTTGGGCGCGTTGTGAGAAAGAAATATGTCCGGCGCGGGTGTATCTTCTCGAGTTCCTTGGCCATCGGGCAAGGTGTCCGGCCGCTCCAACAGGACCGCTTCAGGTAGGCGGAGAGGCGGGAAGAAACAATGGCGCAGGGATTTGCGGAACTACGAATCTGTTAGAAAATCGGTGACTACAGATAATGGAGCTGTAGGGCTTACTTCTTGACAATTGGAATCTGCTGCGAAAGCACAGTTGCCAGCTCTCGCACCAGATGAGGTCGGTTACAGGTGGCCTGTAATTGGGCAATGGTAGCTTCTACAATCTCGTCGTTGATTCCCTCGATTTTCATGTGAGTGGCAGACTCAGAGTCGCTGTGGGCTTCTTGCATCTCGACATTACTTGTTGTCGGCGACGGCGGTGGCGTGTGATCGAAAACAGCGTCCCCGGGACGCTTTTGTGATGTCTCCCCATGCGAGCGTTTTTGTCTCTTGTTCGGGCGCGCTACTGTTGTCGATGTAATCGTTACGCGGTTCCCCCCATTCTCGGAATTGCTTCGACTCGGGGCGGCGGTGGCCGAACTGCGACTTGAATGGCTCCCTGGAACGTGGATGCCCAGCGACGGCAGAGACAAGGATTTGCGGCGTGTGTTGTATGGCATCTTAGCGACGACTGAGCTTTTCCGGATGAGATGGGATGTACGGATGAATATGGAAGGCGATTGTTATTTGGACAAGATCATCCAGGAGATAGAGACGAGGTCACTTATGGCGATGGGAGAGAAGAGGTATTGATAACATGCGTCCTCGTTTGTTATGGGGGGTGGTGGATGGGATTTGCGTACTGGGCAACGACAGAATACTGGGACGAGGGAAAGCTCGCACCCTTTTTTTTTTTTTTTTTTCCTTCTTCCTTTTTTTTTTTTCCTGGCTAGTCTCCACCTTTCCTCACGAAGGCCCCCCTGACCACATACGCAAGGGGTCCGATGAGGTGTGGAAAAGGCGAGTGCCCCACCCTGGCGTGCCGAGACTAAGGTAGCCTTGCGTACGTACTGTGGGGCGCGGCTGGGTACCGATCCTATACGTCAGAGGTACCTCTCCGTACCGCCCGTTCAAAAATATTTTAAACTGGAGACGGGTTGGAATAACGCTCCCCGATAGGCGATGTCCTAGCATCCATGAGATCGAATTACAGAAAGGCTGATTGGACAGTCCTTACGGGACAGTCAGCACAGGACCGACCGGATAGTGAACACGTGAGCAGAAACGTACGGCATCAAAACCGAATAAGAAACCTACCTTTTAATATAATACCTTTGTACGTGATTTTATCCCCTTATCAAAAACATCCGCTAGAGCACTAATACATATAATATGTTATATATTAGGAAAACTAAGAATATTATACTATATAGTAATTTATTATTATTTTTTAGCTTTATAAATATAAAAGATTAATTCTTATAGCAACTTTTAAAGAATATTATATAATATAATACATAATTTAATTATCACCTTATTAAAAGTATCTATTAAAGTATTAATATATACAATGTATTATATAACAAAAAAACTAAGTATGCTATATTATGTATCTAATTATTAATTAATTAACCTCTAGTTATTAACCCTTTTTATTAAGAACTAATATAGCTATATTATAAATTAGAGAGTTTATACCCGGGTATAAATAATTAATATACGGGTATAACTCTTATATAATGTAATAGCTGTATATTATTATTAGCCTGAGAATATATATAAATTATAAATATTTTATTTTAAAAATAATAAAAACTTCTTTAAAACCCTCTTAATACTAGCTTATGAAAATATAAAAAGTATAGCTAAATATTATAATTAAGAAAGATATAAAAAGTAGGTCTAGTATATTGAATAGATTTAAACTTAATATTTTTATAAAGTTATTATAAAAATTAGCTTTTTTTTAAGCTAGGCTTTATTTAAATTTAGTAAACCTTAGTCATAACTTTATAATTAAATTATATTAAGTTTTAATTATAGCTTTATAATTAAGCTAGGCCTAACGTATAGATATAGTAAGTTGCTTATTATAGTAAGTCGCCCACTTTTGAATACCCTTCTATTATTTATATAAATTAATGAAGCTATATTATATAAAATTAATTAGAATTACTTATTAGCCTTTTCTTTAAAGGTCTTTTAAACTATCTAATATATTTATATATTATATTTAATCTTTTTATAGTTATTATATCGCTACCTATATAATGTTACGACCTAATACGTATGGCGAAGCTAGGGTCCTGCCCTATAGGACCGTAGCGGCTATTATATTATATATATATAAGTACAGACTTAAAAGGACTCCCTTCAAAATAAAAGAACTATAAATAAGTTACGTAACCACGATTATATAATAAAATCAAAAATAGATACCTATAAATAAATAAAATAGATATTTATAAATAAATAGAACGGACGTTCGTAAGTAAATAGGACGGACGACCGTTTAATAAATAATTAAATAATTATAAATAATATAAAATAAAAAATATATTTAAAATTAAGACTTATATATAATATAAACTTAAGCCGGGCTTAAGGATAGACTTTTTATAGCTTTTTTAATTATTAATTTTATATTAGATTTTATAATTATTTTAATTATTTTTATTAAGAACCTTTTAATAAAATTATTATTAATTACTAAAGTTTTACCTTATAGTTTATAAGATATAACTTCCTAAAGTTATTTAATAACTTTATTTATTATTATTTAGTCCTTATAGCCTAAACTTCTACGAACTTACCTTATTATAATTAACTAGCCATAATATTTTAATAGCTCCTATTTAATAAATTAACTTTTTAAAAACTAATTAATAATAAGAACGATGTCTTTTTTTAATAATACGCCCCTTATTACCTCTTTTTTTAAAAAAAAATTAGTTAAAAAACTTAGTTTAAGAACTAACTATTATTAAAGATAATAAAATACTTAACGTTACTTATAATTCGGACGGGGATACGGTACTTAATAGGGATACTTATTTCTAAATAAAGTATACTATTAATAAAAGTATTAAATATAATAAAGAACTAGTTAAGCTTTTTAATAATAATACCGTTTATTTAATTATAATTTTTAAAAAAAATAGTAAAAATATCGTATATATACGATCTATATTAAATAAAATAATAACTACCCTAAAACTTAAAATTAATGAGTTTAATAACCTAGCTTAAGAGGTTCGAACCTTTAAAGCCGCCGTTAATATTATTAAAACCCTTATAAATAATTTAAAAAAACTCAAACTTAATACTCCGACTACTTTTAATAGAACTATAAAAAGACTTAAGGGATTCTTAATTTAAATCAAAACTTATTAAACTTTCTATACTATAAATTTCTAAAATAAAGCCGAATATATTATATATATAACTACCTTTTTATAAGGACGAGCCTTTAAATAGTTCGAACTTTATTAAAAAGATTTTTTTAATAATAATAGCTACCTTAAGAATTATAAAACCGAAACTATTACTATTTTTAATAATATAATAGGTTTTTAAACTGCCCTCGAATTATTATTTTAAGACCTAAATAAAAAACGATAAATAGAACGTAATTTAGCTAACCTTTAATAAACTAAGTCCGCCTCTTATCATATAGCTAAATTTAAAATTTTTTTAATATACCTTAATTTAACTAAAGAAACTCGTATCTTTATCTTTTATTTCGGACTAAAAGATAAAGTTAAGGATAAATTAATTAAGATAGATTAACCTATTAAATTCCTACTTTATATAAAATAAACTATTTAGATTAATACCTAATTTTATAAACGGCATAAAGAAAAAAAAGACGGCTAACGACCTTAAATTAATTTTAAAAAACATTATTAAATAAACTT